TTTTTATTTGTGTTTTGTTCAGAAACCATAGTAGATATACAGTACTGCAGAAACAGGCAGTCACTGTATTACAATGTGACTGATAATTTTATATTTTCAATTTCTGCTTTTGAGTTTTATCCATATCATCTCCAACTGTTGTTACTGTCTTCCTGATTATAGTGTTCTCTGTGGCATTTTATTGTGGTATAACAAAACAAATGACATGCTGAATGAGGTGGACAATGAATAAAAGCAACATTGCGGCAGGAGGAAAGCACTAAGTGCAGGTCTGCAAGCACATCAGTAATAAGGCATAAAATGGTGTTCTGTGTAGGGAGGAGCAAAATAGAGTAGATGCAATGTGGGAAAGCAGGTTAATGGCGGGTGGCAAAGTCAGCCCCTGAACCAGTGGTTTTCCTCTGAAAATGATAGTGTGAAATTAAAGAGTAGGCCCTATGCTGGCTGTTTGAAAGTGGCTCAAAATTTTAGGCTTAAAAGAAAGATAAAAATTTACATAAAGTTATATAAATGATTCTTTTGTTACTGCCATATTCACCTAACCATTTTGATGAGGCATAATTGGAAAGTCTCTCTGTTGCTAGCTTAAAAATTGGTTGGGCAACCTTATCTAGGTGTAATGGGGAGGGTGTTACACAGGAATAGAAGTGACTACAAGGTATTCTTTATGGTAGTAGAATTTTGGCCCAGGACCTTCACTCTGAGGAGCATCCAGGCCTTTTACATTTTTAGTTATGCTTACTTTAAATTTTGACACAGAGTCTCACTGTGCTGAGTTTGAAGCTCCTGGCCTCTTGTCTCCACCTCCCAGAGTGATGTGATCACAGGTGTGGATCACCAAGCACAAGTATATTCCCATGATCACAGTGCTTGGTTGAATTAAACATCATCAATTATTTGTTTTTATGTAAAAAATGTAACTTTTTTCCATTGTGAATGTGTGGGTGCTATTCTGAAATATATTTTTGGAACTTTGTTCCCCTACATAAGTGTTTATGAATTTGAGGTTAGTTGTGTATATAGTATAATTTTTTTAAATGGAGGTAACAATCTAAGACAATCATAATTTTTCAGAGTAGGATTGTCCATCCCTTTTTATCATAAGCCAAATTGAGAGAGTGTATTCGTATCTGTTAACGGGGTGACTCAGAGTGCCACCCCTTGATAACTTCAAAATGGTGCCTCACAATGAAAAGCAACATCATCTGCTTTGGACACCAATCTTCACTTGAAGCAGTGTACTAAAGGAGCACTCTGAATTTGTCAAAGTTTTGGTCGCTCTGGGCAGTGAATTGATTTGGGACCCACCATTTTTTGTTGGAGAATTGTCTCATGCTCAACAAGCAATATATATTAGAATTCAAAATACAAATTGGGAAAAGGCAAAAGTCAACCTTAACTGATGGAGGGTATTTCTCTCTGCTCAGAATTGAGACTGAGGACATGAAATTTGACCTGTGAAGATGGCTTGTCATGATTCCCTGTCTCACCACCTGTGATTTAGCTACCATGAGCTGCATCAGCACATTGTATTATGTATAACCTCAGGAGTATGTTCAAACTTCTGCGTATGGGTTCTTTGAACTGCAGTGAAGCAGGCTTTGACCTAGCCAGCTTCCCTTTTGCTTCTTTTGCAGCAAGTTGCTTGTGTAAAATACAAGTTACCTTAAGGACTTATGAATTTATTTTCATGATTTAACCATAATATTATGATTTTTCTAGCTTAAAATGAAGTGGAGAATTGATTACATCAGACAAAGCAAAGAAAAATTCAGAAGTAATTATTTTTGCTTGTTTGTTTGTTTTGAGACCAGGGTCTATGTAGTTCAGGATAGCCTTGAACTCACTATGTAGTCAAGGCTGGCCTCAAACTCCCATCGATCCTCCTGCCTTATCCTCCCAATTGCTAGGATTACAGGCATACCCACCATGCCTGGCTTTATAGTAATTTTTTTATTGTTTTGCATTTGCCATATACATTCCTAAAGATCCATAGAGTCATGATGCAAGTGAGCATACCACTTATGGTTACTTCCAGTGCATCTCTCTGATTTCATCTAACTACCCCCGAGGTGGTCACAGGATGCATTTTCAGAAATTTCTTTCACCCATAACAATCTCATCAAGGGAAACATTGGTTTCAATTCTTTGGAGTTTTGAATAATTTAATAATTGAGGGTATTATCTCATTATTATCATGCTGAAAAGACTATTCATGGTTTCTTTGCCTCCACTTTCTGCCCAAAGGATTGTAGGGTCATTTATATTTCAGGCACTTCACTCATTCCCCTACTCCTGCACTTGGGTTATTTCAAATTGATTTTTTAAAAACTTTTTGATGCAATTAAAATGTTATTATTGATTTTTTTCCTCAAATGATAATGAATTTAAATTTTTGATAGAATAAGAAAAATGCTCATGAAGATGAAAAAATTTAAAATTTTTATAAATTTTTCATTAATATTTTATAGATATGTGGTTTTATTGTGTTTGGCCAACATGTGGAATAGTTTTACTTATCTTTGTCCATCTAATATATTTTATTATATTTTTGTGGTCTCATCTTGTGTTTATTACATATAGTGTTGAACTTCTTTCATAGAATATGTATTTTTTAATATTTGAATAACTGTCACTGTGAAGGCTTAATTATGTTGTAAGATTTACAATTTCTAATCCAATCCACTTATTTCTACCCAATATATAATTACATGCCATATTCTTGTATATTAAGCTTGGGATATACTAAGTCCACTAGTTTTTTGTTGGTACTTTAATTTTTCCAACATATACCATTAATATTATATGCAAGTGAAAACAGTTATATGTGTTCCATCTTAATCTCTGCCTATTACTTTATTCTTTCTTGTATTTTGTCTGTATCCATTGATATTATTTATAATTCTTATTCTCTAGATTTTATTGTAATAAATTACATTAATCACTTAATAATGCCTTTGATACTTTTAATAATTTCTTCTCTGTTGTCTATAATCTCCATGAATATGAGCAATGAAATCTATTATCTGGGGAGGGATTTTCATTTTTATGTTGCTGGTCTTTAATTTTCTGGTATTGTGATCTTTGTTGTTTAATATGAATATTCTTCTGAAGCACCCATTTCTGGGTCTCTAAAATGATATGTTGTACAGTATATTCCTTTTAATAAATTATGATATCCTTAATATTTAATCAAGCTTTTCACTTGAAACAGGTCTTAAAAATTTGTGATTTCATATCTAACTCTTAGAAATATTTTAAACATGTTTCTGTTGTTGGTCTTGAATTTTACTTCAATAGGTGTGAGAGCCTCCTTTGTATGATTTGTTACTTCAACAATAGGAATTTTTTTGTGTTTCTCTTTTTTACTTTTATTCCTTTACAGTACATTATGATTACTCATTGTAGTGAGTTTGTATATGTCCATCACACATTTCAATTTTCCCCCTAGAAATTAAATTATTTATTGCTGCTTTGAACATGTTTATTTGGGTGAATATTTCTTGTGATTTTGAGAATACTATGTACTATGTAGTTATTTGATAGAGTCTTATACAATATCCAGTGAATCCCTGTAAAGCATGATGTTGTCAATTTTAACTGTTCCATTGCAAATTTATTTTCCTTCTTCTGCTAACAATTACTGATAGAATTGTTTTGAAATCTTCAGGCATAGTTGTGAATCATAAATTTTTTTCTCTTCACATTCATGTCTTATCTCATGTAATTTGATACTGTTTAGTGGAATATGTATTTAGGACTTTTTTTAGAAAACTGCCTTTCATATCATCTGATCACTGCAATCATTATTTTGAAGTACAAATTGAATAATGTCAAATTAATATAACTTCTGCAGATTTTGTTGAATCAATGGTAGACTAGTGTGTCTTTTTGCAAACTTTTCTATGTCATCTGTTCTCATCAATGTCAACATAACAACCACTCCTGTCCAGGTAGGCATAGTATTGGCACTATAACCCAGAGATGTCTAGACACCAGTCAGCTCTGATGCCTGTTTTCTCTTTCTCTGACAGTCTAACAAGTTTCAATATAGATGAACAATACAGAGTTTAGCCACTGCTTGCTGGTGGTCTGTGCATCTCCTGTTTGCAACCGTGCTGCTTTGCTTATTGGTGTCCAATACATTTATCTTCAAAATTGAAGATAGTACATTTTATTCATCTCTTTTCCCTCATTATTCTCTCATAGCCCCCTAGAATTTCTGAGTGCAAGGTGACCATTTGGTGACACTGAGTTTAAGAAAAAATGCCACTCTTTCCCTGTTTTCAATGTTCACAGACTTATTCCAATAAAACTTTTTCCATGAACATTTTAAGTATTATTCATAAACCTGACTTGATGTTCAATTGTTTCTTATGGAACAAAATTCAAATTTCAAAATGCTGCCTGTGTACAAATCAAAGAAAGAAGGATTCCATGCATAAATAGTATTAGAAAAGTGGTATTATGTATAGTCTATCGAAACCATTTATTAGCTATTCATCTGCTCCTGTGTTTTGTGGATGGTGATCTTGTAGGCTCCTTCTATAAACTCTGCTTTAGAGACAGTGCATAGATACCCTTGCAGTGAACCAGCAGAAGAACCAGCACTCCTACTATGCTGTTACTTTAGCAAAGAGTGGCAATCTACCATCAGAACTGCTGTCTGAAAAAATGTGCAAATCCATGTACACATGGATTTGATGACCAAGACATTGAGTTAATATTTGAAGGATTCAGCCCCCATTCAGCTCTTTTCTTTTGTTTGCTTTTTTGAGACAGAGTCTCACTATGCAGTTCAGGCTGGACTTGAACTCACTGTGTAGCCCACACCAATCTTGAATTCATGGCAATTCTCTTGCCTCAGCCTCCTGAGTACTGGGATTGCAGACATGCACAACTACACCTGGCTCTCAATTCAACTTTTTGTAAGAGGAATTGAGATATCACAGGCTAGGAGTCTTAACCTTCCTTCAAGACGTATATGTGTGATCATTTAGGAGGCAGTGACCTTTGAGGATGTGGCTGTCAACTTCACCATGGAGGAGTGGGCTTTGCTGAATCCATCCCAAAAGAAGCTCTACAGAGATGTGATGGAGGAAACATTTAAGAACATGACTGCTATAGGTAAGGATGACACCCCTTCTCATTTATAAAATCAGAGAACACTGTTTGATGCTCATCAGTACAGTTTCATTAATAGAATGTGAAAACATCTTGAAGAATATTTCAGGCCTGGTTACATTATACCATGAATCTAACTGGAATCTATTCATTTTTATATAATAATATAGTATCTCTTTATATTTCTCTCTATAATTCAGGAAGAGCCTGGGGTAACCAGAAAGTTGAAGAAGAGTACAAAAATTACTGGAGAGATCTAAGGTAATTTGCACTCAAAAGTAAAAAGAATCTTTCTCAAGATTCAGTGTATAAGCAGAGATATCAAAACTAAGGAAACATGGCCAAGTTCAAATATATTTAATCTCACAAATATAAACCCATTTTCAAGATATCAATATATACAAGTGAATATGAGACATTCATTATCTAACATTTTCCTAACCTTGAAACAGTATTCAAAGTACAAATACTGCTAATGTTGTGAAGTGTTTTCAAGCCACCCTCCAGAGAATTGAATACATTCATGTTTTTAAATTTTTAGAAGGTACCCTCCATCATTGTCAGTGAACACCCTCCAACATTTTAGGTAAAAATGTTAACTATAGCCACTATGATAATCAGTACACAAACATCTCAAAAAGTAAGAATGGAAGTTCTATTTGATCCAGGAATACCTCTCTCAAAAGAATGAAAACCATATTATACTGACACTTATAACATACACATACTCAAAAAGGATAATTTATAACAGATCATCCCTGGAATCAGCCTAAATGTTCACCATTGGATGCATGGATAAAAAGAATTTTGAGGGCCAGGGATTTAGCTCCATGGTGCCACCACCTGCTTCACAAGTGCAAGGTTCTGAGTTCGATTCCTGGTACCAAAAAAAAAAATTTTTTTATAAGCTCAGCATGATAGTGCATTTCCAGTACTCTGAGAAGCTGATTCAGCAGGATAGCAAGTTGGAGCTCATCCAGAGCAACTTAATGATCAACTCTAGAATCTCTCTCAAAATAGAAAATCTGAGATGAGGCCAGGGATTTAGCTCAGCAGTGCCATGCCTGCCTGCAAGCACAAGGTCCTGAGTTTGATCCCTGGTACAAAAAAAAAAAAAAAAAAAAAAAAAAGCTGGATATGTAATTCAGTGCTAAGACCTATGTTTAATTCCCAGCACTGAAAAGAAAAAGAAGAAATGTGCTATATAAAGCCATAAAGATGCAAGGGGCCAGGGATTTAGCTCAGTGATTCTGCCTCCTGCTTCACAAATGTAAGGACTTGAGTATGATCCCCAGTACCAAGAAAGAAAGCCATAAAGATGAAAAATATCATGTCACTTGGTGGGTCTTCATCTTATAGTGTTAAATGAAGTAAGATACAAATGTGAAAGGTCACATGATTTCTCTTATATGAGAAACCAAAAATATAAATTAGGGAGTAAAATAGAGAAGAGGTGATTTTAAAAGGAAAGCCTGACTTTTTAGAGGTGAGGGAGACAAATGGGGTAAGAAGGGGAGAGAGAGAGATGGGGGAAAAGATCTAAATGATCAATATGTGATATACGTAAGTACCAACTGTCCAGAATGAAACTAAGCTTTCTGTATTGCGAAATACACCAATTTAAAAAATTCCCAAATCAATACTACTCTGGGGAATAGCTGCTCTGAAGATATCGTCCAGGGCATTCAATTAATTCATTGTCAGAATTTCTTGGGAGGCATCAAACTAGAACTTGTGGTAAATCATTAATATGGAGACCCATTTTATTGAGACTTTTTTTTTTCTTTACAGAAATGAAGAGGTAGAGAAATGCTGTCAAAGTAAAAGGAATCAATATGAAGAAATATTCCTCTGGACTCCAAGTCCTAAGGTGGACATGAAACAAGCTGGTTTAAAACCAGCTAAGGACCTTGCTTACAGAAAGCCCCTAATTGGGCATTTGTCACTAACTGTGCCCATCATATTTCACACTAGACTGAAGACATCTGAGTACTTGGGATCAGAAAAGAAGCTGTACAAATGTAATGAACACGGAAAAACCTGTGATGATTTCCAGTCCTTTCAGGGGGATGCAAGGACAAAGACTAGAGAAAACCCCTTTAAATATGATCAATGTGAGAAATCCTACTCTGATCTGAATGAAAGAACTCACCTTAAAGAGACCTCTGCATATAAGAAAAATGTGAAAGCCTACAGCACACTTAATGATGTTCAGATCCATGAAAGAAGTCACAGTGGGAAGAAACCCTATGTATGTAAGCAATGTGGGAGAGCTTTTAGTACACAAGGTTACTGGAAAAGGCATGAAAGAACTCACACAGGGGAAAAACCCTACAAATGTAAGCAATGTGGTAAAGCTTTCAGCAAGCGTAAATATTGTCAAGTACATGAAAGAATTCACACTGAGGAAAAACCCTATGTATGTAAGCAATGTGGAAAAGCTTTTACCACACAAGGTTATTGTAAAATACATGAAAGAATTCACACTGGGGAGAAACCCTATGTTTGTAAGCAGTGTGGGAAAGCTTTTAGTACAAAAGGTCATTGTAGTAAACATGAAAGGACTCACACAGGGGAAAAACCCTATGTATGTGAGCAATGTGGGAAAGGTTTTTCTACACAAAGTTATCGTAAAATACATGAAAAAAATCACACTGCGGAGAAACCCTATGTATGTAAGCGATGTGGGAAAGCTTTCAGCACACATGATGATTGTCAAAGACATGAAAGTACTCACAGTAAGGAGAAACACTATGTATGTAAGCAGTGTGGGAAAGCTTTCCTCAAATCAAGTAAATGTAAAAGACATGAAAGAATTCACACTGGGGAGAAACCCTATGTTTGTAAGCAGTGTGGGAAAGCTTTTAGCACACAAGGTTATTGTAAAATACATGAAAGAATTCACACTGGGGAGAAACCCTATGTTTGTAAGCAGTGTGGGAAAGCTTTTAGCACACAAGGTTATTGTAAAATACATGAAAGAA